TTTTTCACTGCCAAGGATGAGAGAGTTGTTGGGATCTTTCACCAGTTCGCATTCCAACAACACTCGGATCAGAAAAACCCAGAGGCACTGAGTCGAAGTTGGCAGCGAAAAATGCTTTAGCTAGGGCCCAGAGGCCATTGGAGCTGAAAACCCGAAGGGTGAAGAGTGAGTCGGCGGTGAGACCGAAAGAATGCATCCAGGCTCATTGGATGCCTATGCGCGGCATCAAACTTGGAAGGCAACTCGGAAGTCAAGTCCCATCGACTTGGCAAATCAGCATCAGTGTTCAAAGGGCCTGGTATGTGAGATATGTCACAACTAATGCGTTCAGACACTGGATAGAGGCCAATTGTTCAACAAAGAAGCACAATGGAGCGGTGGTTGTGAACAATTTGTTTCCAGCTGCTTCGGCGGCCGCATTATCACTCAAGCTGTGAAAGTGCAAAGGAACACAAACATTTGGGCAGAGTGCCAGACAAAGCAAGATTAGAAATCCTTGGGCGAGAGTTTCATAACAAGCAATGTCTTTTTGGGCGTCTGAACGAACTGCAATGTCGAATTTGGTGATATCGGCCACTGACCACTTTTCAGCAAACCAATGGATGGAGGTACCCGCTTCAATCAATCCACCGATCTGGAAAAACTCCCCTTGGGCTGAGGCATCTGCTGATGCTTTAACTGACACCTGGGCCGGCGGGCGCATGGTGCGGAGTGGGGGGCAGGTTGTGAGCCATTGCAACCACAGCTTAAGGACTCTTCGACTGTGAGTGGACAGCTTGCGCTGTTGAGAGTTTGGGTTCACAATCCGAAGCCACAGTCTACGGTCCGTCAAGCGAACCGATTCTACTTCCTGCAAGGTTTGCACCGAATGATGCCTGATCGAAATGAGCTTGGATCCCTTTGGGATTGCTGTGCCTGTGGGTGTACACGCGAATGTCAGGTCGTCGGCTAAACACGATTTAACTACTGTCCAAGATCCTGGGTTGGCACTGTAGTGAGTTGCAGGACAGCAATACAAGTCTGAGAACAGCCAATGGAGCGCGGCACGAAAAGGCAAAAAGAGATGGGTGACCCACAGCGCCAAACCTGTGAACCTTTCCAGTTGTTTGCAAGTGCAATGACGATGAGCAAGCAAGTCGTGGATCAACGCAATCAGTTTGTGGTGCTTGTCTGGGTGCAACGAAACGATTCCGTTGAAGAAATTAAAGCGCCATCCAATCCAATCAACCATTGGACCTAGGGTACACTTGCGCCAACTGAGAGGAATGCGAAAAAACCTGACAAAAAAATAGCCAGGAGTGTGGCAAAGATCGGTAAGACTTGTTTGCTTTGAGTCAACAAGAAGTCATCAACGAACAACCACAGGCCATGTTGGACCCAAATCAGGCGGTGAAAAAACGCGCACTAGCCAAGCTCCTAATCTGCCCCACCAAAATGCACTGAACGTGGCCCCAAAAGGACAAACCCGATAGAAGTAGATAGTGCCTTTGAAGGTGAGTCCTACTAGGCCTTGGTGTCGTGGAGCAAGAACGATGCGTTTGTGAGCTGACTTCACGTCAAACGTGGCTGCATGTTGAGGTTCCGTGCAATGGCGAAGGGGAAATGATTCAACAACATCTCGAGCGGATGGGTAGCACTGGCGTTCAGGAATCCAACAATTTTGATTGGTCTTACAGATGCTACTGTCTAAAACCAGTCTAGGAGGTCGAGACTCTGAGAAGGCGATGCCCAATTTACCGAGGCCGACTCCGTGGGGGTATTGCTGCTGAGCTTCCGCTTCGTCCCCAGAAAACTGGAAAATCCACCCTTGATCAATTTCGTTCTGAATGAGCTCTTCTGTTAATTCTGGATGATCCTCACTAGATTTCCAATTACCTCTGTGAAGTTGGAGGGCAGGAAGATCATGGTCAGCTACCGAATCTTTCTCCCAAAACACTCGACTGGGTAAAATGGGGTATCTGCCGCGCCGGCTGAGACTCCTGCGATTAGGCTAGTGAAGACCTCACTATCGGGATCATGAAGCCGGTGGCTGAGGGCTTGCATGGCCGCAAGATGCATGGGTTGGTCATCTCGGATGGACCAATCCATTGGAAGCCAAGCAGAAAGAGAGGTCCGAAACTGATCGATGCACTCATCCGAGAAAGGCGGAGTGGATTGGGCTTGTTCCACATGGGCCAGGAAGGCTTTATGGAGGCCTTGTTCAAGGATCAGATTGATCCAGCTATCCCTGAGCGGTTTCAACACGTCCTCAGTATTGGGAGGTGCGCTCCAATCTGGTTGACTACCTTTACCGCCTCCATCATGGAGGGCGTGTGGGGCTACCTGTAGGGGCTTAATGGGGATCATGGCTAGGGCTGAGGTTAAAGTCAACTGGAGAATCTTGGGCCCAATACGAAACTCAAACGTGAGGCGATTTGTTGTGCCAATTCTTTGGGATATTCGGCTGTTCGTCGGCTGAGGTAAGTGCCCGAGGAATCCTTGAGGCCTGCGTACGGTGCATGAGTGGAGTGAGTACATGCGCAAGCCATGTCACAGAACCAATCATGACTGCATGCGAACATCCAATGCTTGGAAATATCCATGTGAAATGAACATGCTGCTACCACTACGCATTGACACTGCTGTTGATGAAGCCACGACTTAACAACTGGATCATACCACGTGAAGGCATTCGGTGGGGCTTCCAAGTGTCCATGACCGCCAGCTGCGTGCACGTGCTGCAAGCAGTGAATTGCACGATGCAACAATTCCCTGCTCTGAATCAATCGCTGCGTTTCCTGAGGGTTGGGATCTGCGATACCTAGAGGAAACTCGTACGTCCGAATGGGCTTGGGGCCCGGAGAGCGAAGTTTTAGCAAGGAAAATTCACTGCATGGTGGGCTTGCACCACAATACGCAACTAGACCTGAAGCACAAAGACGGAGTAATTCTTCGAAAAACAGGTCGTTAAGAAGATCCATCTCAGGTGATACTAAAATGTCGATGGGCAAAACGGCACGATCAAAACCTAAAAGGGCTTTGGACAAGGGAGCCTGAGCCCCGCTGCAAACATCGAGAAACAAATGAGGGCCTGGCGCTGTCAAATGTGCACCTGGGCTGGATTGCGGTGAAACGAGTTTGGAAGGAGGAGGACTCTCAGGTGGCTGAGGGTCCTCACTGGCTGGAGGGATAGGGACATGTGGTACGACCCTAGACGTGTCTGTGTCCCGTTCGGAACACGCAGGGCCCCGTCAAAACGGAGCTGAGCGGTGGTCCAGAGCGCTATGCTTCTGACCGCAGACAGTGCCATCACTTTTCAAAATCGCACAAACGTGTTCATACTTGCAGGTCTTGGGATTGGCACATGTCTTCTGTTGAAACTTCAAGCAAATTGTTTTCTTTTGCCCGTCACGAACCACTTCTGTACCCCATGCTGGGCGGGGTGCTGTGGAATAGGATTTGCCGGAGCCCTTGGGTGAAATCTTCCCGGCGGTCTTTCCCAGGCCTTTTCCTTTTCCTTTGACATTCATGCGAGGAATAAACGGACGAGGTTGCAACAATGAAGCCATGTCTGCCCTAATTTCAACTAGTTCGTGAATGGCGTCATCAAGCGTCCACTGTCTGTAGTTAAACAACTCAGCAATCTTCCCCCAAAGAACTTGATCGGCCGACTGAAGCTCTGACACATTGGGGGGACGAAGACCACTCTCGGAGTCGAAACGTTGACTTGCGTGGGCTAGAAATCGATGAACATATTTCTTGAGCGTCGACAAATGTGCTCC